CTAAAAAGAGACCCTATTACTCCGACTGCAAAACTCATCAAGCTGAACAACGAGCATGACAGCGCATTGAAGTCGAAATCGTGGTCATGGCTGACCCAAAAGTGATAGCTTGTACAAAGCATGACTCAGTGCCAGCTCAATTCGATCGCAAGGATCGTTCATAGTTTGTCTCTCAGTGCTTGAAGGATAGCACCTGTCAAAAGTTCCCTGCAAACAGGGGAATATTGAATAATCATCCATCTTTTTATCAATATATATTGTGAAGTGTTCCCAGAATGAGGCACATCTCAGCAAGATCAAACATCCTTCTTTCTTCCCGGATCCAAAACACAAGTTGGGTTGACTTAGGAGGTCATACAATGCATGCACAGCAAACACACCCTAACAAAAGATTAGGGGCATGTAGTGATAGGCACTCTGTCAACAGACTGATCATTCCATGGTTAAATTCATGTCTAAAACAAGCGGTAAGATCACAAAGCTAACTTGAATTGTCCCTTTTCCTTTTATACTAAAGCCCATCTCGAGAGTGATCTCACCCTTCGCCAACATCTGACCATACCATGCGTTGCGACCTTTCAATAGGGTGACATATGTGTCCGCAAGCAACGGGCCGGATATCTTCTCTGGCCCCTCAGCCAGCAGGTGAGTGATGAGTATCATCTCGGATGTGCAATGCGCAAAATATACTGATTTGCTCATAGCGCTTTCGTTGGTTAGAGCGACTATCATCCCTGAAGAAACAAAAGATAGTCAGGAAATGACTTGGACAAACAATTACATAGTTAAACACAACAAAGCCTTCAGATGCATATATATATATATATATATATATATATATATATATATATATATATATATATATATATTCTGAGAAAAGTATAGCTTGGCATTCTCAAAACAAAACATGCTTGACCTCAATTAATAGTTGGGCAGAATGAACTCTCTCTGTTGGTCTATTGGCAAACCACTAAAAACAAATGCTAGTGTGGGTAACAATTAGTGTTTCTTTAGAAGCTCAAGCAGGTTATACAGGTCATCTAGGTCAAATTAATTATAGACTGCCTACGTTCGCTATTATATTGCCAACACAATATTTACCAGCCAATACAATACTAATTGTCTTTATTGGCTGACACAAGGCAACAATATGCACAAAGGTGTACTGGCACCAGTGACATGACAGTTTCTTGTTTTAGCATCATACTATGTGGTTAACTTGGACTAGCTCATCACAAATAAAAATTGAACTTGGTTTCACCATATCCTTATTATGGCATTACCAAATCTCCATAACTTTCCATTCTTTCTTTGGGTGGATCAATACACACAGTTTACAGAGAATGACAACTCAGTATTTTCCTAATACCATTTATTAAGGTAGGTAGCATACATGGAAGCTACAATAATTTATTTACATGATTTGCTATGTAGATTGTCATGAGTTAAATTGGACAATCTATATCCTTACTAAATGCCAATCTTGTGTTCTGTGGATTTACAGAGCCTCAATTCTAGCTTACTATCATAAAGAAACCTAGAGAATTTCAACAGTATATGTCCAACTTCTCGTAATATGATGTGTTAATACTTTGATGGATGATTAAAAACTCTGTCAACTGATCTAGCAGATGCCACAACAAAGAAATTCCTGAAACATTTCATTACTCTCATAACTTACTAGTCAAGTTTCAACACTAAGAAATGCCTGAAAATTTAAATGAGCTATCTTTGAAATTTAATATTCATGAAAATTGAATTTAATGTTCATTAACTTATTTGGAATTTCTGACATGATTGATCTACAAATTAATATATATTAAATGTTGCATGGACTCAGACATGTACCAGTATTTGAGTGGTCAAGAAGACAAAAAAAGAGAAACAGACATATGCAGGAAATAAGAATGTAAGGTCATATTTTTGTTAAGATGAGCAAGAATGCAGATGTTAGGAGACAAGTTTGTATCAAGTCTCAAAAACAAAACAAAAAAAGCATATTTCTTGTCATCATAGCAGGTTATTATTGTTAGAGGTGTCAAAATCCAAGATTAAACCTAAAACTATCATAAAGTAATTAATATCGTCTAGCTCAGTGATACTGGTTTGACGAGTGGGAAAAAAATGCTCGAGTCCAGGTGAATTGTATTTACTGTGAGATAAAATTTGTGTCCAGTAGTGCTACATGCACACTATGGAAAGTTAAGTGACTGCAATGATACAAGCTTGATTTGTCATTTTAGGTAATAAGGTCATTGCACTAGAAAGATATCGTGAATCATGGGATAGTTTCAGAGCAATGTACTGTGCCAAATGCTTGGCAGAGCATGGTCATTAACATTCTAGGGAATCAATGCACCTAATTTAAGGACCATTTCTACAAGAGTATCCTTCAGATAGCTCAAATATCAAAGACAAAAACTGAAATGATAGTTCATGCAAAGGTCATGAAAGAGTGTATCAAATTTTATTTGAATAAAAGAAAGAATTGCAGTTAATCTAGAACTTGAAGAAATAAAATGGTGTAGTTTCAAAATACTAATGATATTCGTCTCCATATATATGAGCAGGAAAAGATGTATTACCGGCACCAATAGCATAGACATTCTTTAACCCACCCATAGCCTCGTGTGTGATGAGATCGCAGTTGTCCCATACAATAAAATGAGGCTGCCTCAAAAATTTAGTGAGTAGTTTCCTCCATTTTTCGGCTCCACAGATCGGAGCATTAGCATATTCCTTACTGTAAATCTCTGAAGCAATGTTTGGCCCACCAACATAAAGAATCTTCTCAATTGTAACTCCAGATGCAAGACAGACATCCACATTTACGGAAAGCCAAAAAGGAATATGACACCGGTACAATTAGAAGACAGGTTAATTTCAAGATGCAAGACATTCATATGCTTGAATATGATAATAAGAAACAGAGATGAATGTGTAAAATATAGAGAAAAATAAGAAAGAATGGAGATACTTCAACATTCATAACAAAATGAGAACAACCATATTATACATGCAGAAGAAGTAAATTAACTTAGCAAACGATTAGGTGGACATGGAGGAACCAGTACTGAAAGTTAAGCAAAGATGTGCAATGAAATCTTCCAAACAAAGATTATGGCATGAAATTTCTCAAGATAGCTGTTCAATCTCTTAAAGGATAAAATGACATGTGGCTGACAGAAACCAGAGTGTATGGTTTTTTCACAGGAAATTTGTATTTCAAAGTATAAAAGATAAAATGTTGCTTTGTTTTCTAAAAAATTGTTATCAGTGTATCGGCAAACAGCATAAGAACATCTTAATGAACTAGCAAGTATGTGTGTGTTTGGCAACCATGAGCTGTAATAAACTGAGACCTGCATATAGGTAGAGTAAGATGAGAAACATTACTTGCGTGGCTAATAATCTGTGTAGGAGTTATGACACGAGGGACCTGATGGAGAGATGCCTCTATGCCCTTGGCAAGAGATATGATGATTGGTGCACTGATCCTCTCCTTCCGGTACCAACCAATTTCCTCGAACACCTCCCTCATTTCCGTCGAGGGCCAACCGTTCACCACGATGTCGGCATCCCACACTGACTCCTGTAGATTGGTCACCACCTTGAGCGGGCAAATCGGAGTGTCAATCAGATTCAAGCAGAAGCCATCCCTCAATATCTCATCCGCAAACAGAGTGCGGTCACCAAGCCTCGCCTCGACATACTTAAGATACGCGGACCGCCGGATCAGCCGCCTCAGGACGTCCTCCCTCGAAGAGATGCTCCGCGGTGGCCCACCCAGGCCGCCTCCAGATTCTGACTTGTACCTTGTCACGGAACTGGCCGTAGGCATCCTGCAAGAGGGCAGCGAAGAGCAAGAGGGCAGCGTCTTCGCTGCCCCACGCCCCGGCGCCGACGCAGGCGATCCTCGGCCGGTCGCCATCTGATTTGCCGAGGAGCCGACGGAGCTCGGCTAGCCTCTCTTCCGGGCCATTGGAGCAGCGAACAAACCTATTAGAATGGGAAGAACCATGGATGCGCTACTAACCATCTCGTTTCGATAGACAAGGCACCTCAACAATCACGGCAAATGATGCTATGGCTACACGAACAGAACTCTATACAAGAAGTAGGAACCTTCTCCTCCCTCAAAGAACACACCGCCAATGTATATAAGTTCCCCAAAAGACTGGATTTTTATGCTCGAACCAGTCTTGAAACCATGGAGAGCTTCGAAGAAACCGATCGGTCATTCAAATTCAACAGTAGAAGCGAAGGCTCCACCAGACCATGCGGAGCAAAATAAAAACGTGGGGAAAATATACTGTCTAATGTGACACATAATCATACCGCCTACGTTTATGTCACGACCGGTTCGATTATATTTCCGGCAAAATCGGACCGGTGTTGGGTTTGGTTGTCAATTTGGACCGACCTGCTCTCCACGTCCCGGTCGAAACAGGCGGAAGAGGAAGCTTCCGTCTGCCGTAATATAATCCTAAGATGTTATTTAAGTAACGTGGTGCCACCAAATAATCCTAATATAATCCTGAAGATGCACACAATAATTACATCCAGACTGCTAATTTTTAGGGCTTTTAGACGGTGGGTTGATCTTTGCTGCATATGTATTTTTGCTGGTGCCTTTTATGTTATGAACTACAGTGAGTGTTGTGATGAGTTTTAGAAGGATGGAAGTACACAACAAAGGAGTCTTCTTTTTGTCTTGTTAGATGTAAATGATAATTATATCTGAAGCACTCTTTTTGATGCTATTAATAGTTTGTGCCATGCACTGCATGCAGTGGGAGTGACCTTTAATCTTGTGAACCATAGAGAGAGTTTGTGATGAGTAATTATGGAATAATCAAAATGGTAAATTACCTAGAGGCAACTTCCTCATATTGATAATTAGACTCATTGAACAGATTAATGACAAACCAAATTATGTTTTTTTAATCATGTTTTATCTGCCAAAATATCTTGTTACAAACTGAAATAGCAATATTTACCTGATTTTGATGTTGCCTGATGAGCACCTAAAGTGAGGTACAGATTTTTGTCTCTTGGAAGAAAATAACATGCCAACCTGCAACAGGACAGCAGGTTAAGATTCCAATTCTATACCAAGCCTGAAGTCTGAGAGAATAAGTTTACATATTGAAGGTAAGATGTTAATTGCAAGATATAATAATTGAAATGATCACATATTGAGGAATGCACACCCTATCAATATTCTAGATATGTATGGTTTGTAAGTTCATCAAAATTTCTGATGATAAAAGAGTGCATTGGACCACATTCAGGATCAATCATTAAAAAAGACTAGATGGCCTGCTGCAGAAATGAGAAAGAAACCAAACTACAACAAGACTGTGGAACTTGGTTTTTGACATTTAAGAAAAGATGGCATCTAGTTTAAGATGATAATTTTGTGGTTATCACTCTTCTGGCCTGATGTTCCTAGTAAACAGATGAGAAAAATGACTATGACTACATGTAAGATGTGATAGTTTGCATTTGTAGATATGCATAACTAGCTGAACAATAGCATGGTTTTCTATCAGATTTGTGCTGAGAGTGGCATAGGTTGTCTGAGTGGCATTCAACTCTAATGAGGTGATCTTCTAATGCATTTAGGAAATTATGGTAAATGACTTATGTTCTAGATGATGACATGTTTCTGCAGTGACACATCAGGAAGAACTTGGGTGGCAATGACCAGCACAAATCCCTGTTTTAATAAGGAAATTTTGATTTAAAAAAAAAAGGAAATTTAGTGCTAAGATATGGCCTAAATAACATGATTAGCTCTGAATATGTAATTGAGTGCTCAGATTGTCTAGACTCTATTTCACTTTGCCTCACATTATAGACTATGCATATTGCATCTTCCATAGAGTTAAAGATTGCATCTCATTGCTGTGCTTCCTACAAAGATGATGGTAAGAAATAAAAATAATGATAATAATAACTGCTGGCCATAGAATTAGGATGCTAGAATTATATATGGTGATGAACATACCATGAGCAGGTATAACAAATGCATCTTGCATCCAGAACATGAAGAAACGTAGTTATTTCATGAAGAAACAATTCAACCAAGATAAACAGTATTACTTGATTGAAGAGTAAGTGGGTTAGGACAGGAGGAAGAACCTGAATTGAAAATGCTCTCGTGGATATTGTTGGCTGTCATGAAAAAACTTGAGTTATATCAATCTCAAGTACAAATGAAGAAAGTACAAATGAAGAAAAAGGGAAAAATTGCCTCACAAATACGTGATAAGAAACGAAGGAAGAATCCAAGAAATGCCATGGCTTAACAAGCAACAAGAGGACAACACACTACAAACATAATTGTTAAGAACAAGGGAGGAAAACATGATAGCCTTGTCAATTATATTCCATAAATGTTATGCAAGATCTGAAACCAAAAACAAGATTACATGATCAGATCACTGAAGTGAATTACCAACATATGTTACATGGCCAACTGAACATGGAAGGAATGTGAACTTGTGAAAGAAATTTCGGAATGTTCTGAGGATCACTTTCTGTCATCATGAAGAAAGAGCGAAAACATAGACTGCAACAGAAAATTTTCAGGATAGTTGAAAACACAACACAGACAATGGTAAAGGACTTGGTGCATGACAACCTACCATCATGGTCAGCAGACATATGATGTTGATCTTATGGAGTTAAACTGTTGCCACAGAACAAACAATTTTTGCAGGTAAATTTGAAATGAAATGTAGTGGATTTAGTAGTGCACCTTGGTCATACCTGTGCTGGCATATATCACAGCTCTCATATGGCAGAATTAATGCATGCAGGTGCATACCGGAGTGCCCCATGCAGTGGCATGGTAAGATAGGTGTTGGCATAAGGTAGCAGGCACCAGCACTCATGGTACCTATATTGGCATGTGGACAAACATAGCACTTGTATACCTGGAATGATAAAATACTGCTGTGTAGCAAACCAATACCTCAGCACATGGTTCAGGCAGTCATCTATAAACAGATCCTACAGAAGTGCAGATTGAAGCCTAATAAAACAGCATAGATTTTTTTCACCTCCTATCCATAGTTCCTCCATCAAATCATGACAAACATTCAGGAAGGACTCATAATCTAACGGACGATCACAGTAAGAAACTATTTGATTCATCTTCCAACTAAAATACCTCTTGATTTAGCCTCTTCTGCCACCACTCATTCATCCAGAACAAACAAGCATCAAAACATCTAAAGTTGGGGATATCAGCATATAACAAATTCAATTACACTTCTGATTGAATATTATTTAAGCATATTACAAACCTTTCGGTTGTCCACATTTAGTTTCTTAAAACATGTTGCTCGGTGACAAAAAACTAATCTCTCTCTTTCTTAACCATCAAAAAATAAAACAAAGTATTGGTACCCTATCATACATTTGAAAATAGGCAGAATTCTTTCCTTGCTGGTTAAGACTCTAACTGCTTCAACAACAACAATCTTTCAGGTTAAAGGTACCAAAGAAACAATCTTTCCACAAAATACATGTACATCATAGATAAAAAAGTTAAAACATTCCTCTTTTCTATCTCTCCACCCTATGTTATTACGTATCTTATCCCTTCCAATTATTTAATCAAATCAGATTCCAGAAAAACCTGATGAGCCTCACTCTCTATGTAGGGTTTTCTTCTTCAACTCTGATAGATCCTATAAGTACCACTATTAAATTACAACAATACTTATTCTGCTAACTACTTATCAGGGTTGTTTTACTTTGTCAATTGAATCTTTAATGCCCTTAGCACTTTTTATAATATTTACTAAGGTTGCACATGATTCAGGGTTAAGGAGGGCTCAGTTGATGGCCATGGGTTTAATCCACCAAATGGTTTAGTCTAAATAATAGCTAATTTAGCTTGGTCAAAGGAGTACAACTCAGATAAAGTATCCTATATAAATGGATGGACCAAAATACTCTTTTCTCATTTTCTTTGCCAACCCATAGATCCTAGATAGTTAGCTAGGTTAGCAACCTAATGAGAAAGACAGGTTAAAGTTAGTACAGTTAACAAAAATTAACCTAGATAATTTGGCCCAAAACCAAACATAGCATATTAGTATCCTTCTTGTCTAATCTCTTAGGTCACTCTCCACATCTCTGATACATGCGTAAAGTCATTTCATTGTGTTGTACCATTAGCCATATTTTCTTGTTCTGAAGCTCCTCCTTTAGTAGTTCAAGGAAAAATCACTCAATCTACATCAGTATCACAATGTGATTCTTGAAAATATGAAGATACACAATCGAAATCGTGTCTATCTAAATGCAAAGAGATATGTAGATTCATAAGTGAAAATAAAATTCAACAGATAATAGTGAATAGACAAAGAACAAATGAAAATTATCTCATGACATGGGCACATAAACAAGTTCAGAGAACATTGTTGACCACTTTCAAATTTAATCATTTGAAAGAGAAAAATGTTAGTATAACATGAACTAATATATAGCATTGCGACAAATTTGTGGTAGTAGTTTCCATTATCTACAACACGCCAAAATGCATCTGATCAGCCAACAACATAGGATTTCAATGCAACATAAATAAGAAAACGAAGGACAAGTGGGCAACATCGGAATAGTAAATTGAACAAAACTGTCAACCCCATTTAATAGGAAAAAGAAATCTCAAACATGATCCGACAAATATATAAGAACATTAAACAGACACACACATATCCCTCTATGACAACGGCGTATATGGATAATGGTGATGAAGTCATAAACAAGCCAAAACAGTTCTCCAGCAGCAAAAATCACAACTAATATCCTTCAAGCTTCCTTTCCTGGATCTGACCCATGTCATATATCACATGCAGTTCCAGATCTGATTCGTGTTATCAAAACTGAATTCAAATCCCACACGATTGTTTTCCCCTTAAACCTCCTCCTCGGTAGAAGAAGTGTACTACCACAGACAAATAAGCTAACGAATAAAGAGATCCATTAGAAATATTGAAGACGAACCAATGTAACTGTAGCAGAACACTGAACGGGCAGGTCAATTGTGGGAGTCATTCCTCCGGTTGCTGCCACCATTGACCTGATCGAGAAGCTTCCCAGACTCCTCATCAGCCTGGGCGGCCTTCTTCTGTGCCTCCTTGGCCTTGAGCGCCTGCAGCTTCACGTAGTTGTAGTAGGCGACGCCGAGGAAGGCGATGGCATAGCCGAAGAGGTTGATGCTGGTCACGATGTCACGGATGACGGACCAGGAGAAGGCGATGAGGAGCCAGTCCTTGACGACGCCAGCGACGTTCATGGTGAGGGCGGAGGTCTTGCCGACGAGGAGGAAGACGGCAAGGTTGAGGGCGAAGGCGCACAAGGAGTTGGTGCCGAAGATGAGGATGTCGGGGCGGAAGGCGGAGGCGGCCAAGCGGTCACGGAGGACAGGGAGCTCGACCATGGACCAGGGGACGAGGAGGAAGGCAAGGCAGCAGGGGGCTACGTAGTAGAGGGAGGTAATGGGGTTAAGGGAGACGCCCTTGGAGGTGAGGAGGATCTGGATGAGGACGAGGCGGGTGGCCTCGAAGGCGACGGCGGCGAGCTGGAGGACGACGCCGGCGCCGACGAAGCGGGCCTCGCCGTACGCGGCGATGGCGACGCCGAAGGAGATGGAGAGCATGTTGAGCATGGAGGAGGACTTGAAAGCCTCCTTGCGGAAGAGGACGCTGATGGAGTAGACGGCGACGGGCATGAGGGCCTTGAGCATCTGGATGAAGGAGACGGAGAGGTAGATGTAAGCAGAGTTGGAGAACCACAGGGAGAGGGAGTAGAGGGCGCCGATGGGGACGACGGAGGAGAGGTAGAGTGGGCGGGTCATGGGCGGGGAGGCGGGCGGCGCCACCAGGCGGAGGACACGGACGAGGAGGAATGCGAGGGCGGAGCAGAAGGTCATGTGGATGATGGTGAGGCTGATGGGGAAGGGCCACCCGTACATCTTCGGATCCAGAATGTACTTGTTGTAAACGATGACGGTGAAGCTGAGGAAGATCCACACCGCAACGTAGGCGTACGACAGCAGCACCTTCTTCATCACCCCCTCCGCCATTGCTCCGCCGCTCCCTCCCCTCCTCCGATCAGTCCAGTCGCGGAACTGCTGCTGCTGTGATCGATAGATCCGAAGTTGGAGGAATGAGGAGCGGAGACGGGAGGGAATAGGGATTACAAGTCCGGAAAGGACTTGTTTGCATAATTCGGAATTGGAGAGGGACCAGTTTGCAAAACGACACAAGTGTCGCATCGTAAATAGTATCTCTCTCTCTCTCTCTCTCTCTATATATATATAAATGCTGCGTCTACGATCAATTAAATAGTATGTAGAATTAAAGAGGTAGTCGACACACTTCGAGCTCAAGATTTTAATTACGTTAGAAATTAATATGCAAGTAGTTACTTTTGCTGCACTAAATTCTCGTTCAACGTTACTGATTTAGGCATCGAAAAGAATCGGACGTCGATATTTTACCATAAGCACCTTAGGAGCTTTAGAATATAAACAAGTCCACAGCTCTGTCTCGACACTTTAGATTGGATCAACATATTTATACATTACGAACATTTCTAATATGATCGAGTTTGGGGATTAAAAATTTTAAATAAATGATACTATGGCGGTTAATATTCTGAACAAGGAGAAGAATTCTTATATGTATATATGTGTGTGTCTGTGTTCAGTTATCATTTCATAATCACATGGATTATGTAGGTAGAGGGTGGGTGGGTGGATGGAGAAAGCGAAGTTGGGGGATACTTCCCTTTCGCTTATGTGACAATTTTCTCAACTTAACGACATGAAGGACTACTCAGATCAGTCATCTTAAATAAAGAGGCAGCAGTTGAAAGTGTATGAGCCAGAAGATGTCTGGAAAAATAAAAAGAAGACATGAAAAGCATCATCAAAGCCATCTGAATCTTCAATCAAATGTCACATGTCACGAGAAAGAAGCTTCTTCGTCTTATGATCGGTCTAGCTGAATTGTATCACCGTTTCCGACTTTCTCCGGACATCCACCTGAATTGTATCAGTATCTTTTTTATTTATGTTGCTTCCGGTTAAGGAATACAAGATCAATCAATCATTATTCATTGTGTCAAGATCAACGTTTTCTTATTGATACTATCGTTATTATATTTTTATAACATGTTAGTATTAGATTATATGATCATATTTAATTAGGTAAGATATATTATAGATTGGATTGGATTTGATTATGATTATTGGTCAATAGAAAAGAAGTTTATGTTAAAATATGATTCATTAATAGATAACCTAGGAACTCTCCTAATAACTTATCATAAACTCTATGCTCTTGTTTATAAATAGATAAGACCTCTAGGGGTTAAAAAAAGAAACATCAAAAGATGCATTTTAATACGGTTGAAAGATTACAATTTTTCTCTCAATCTCCCTAATCCATCAATCTAGGTGGTGTTAACGAAAGAGATGAAGAGATGAGAAAGATCTAGTTCTCCTTGAAGATTGATATCTTTGATCCGACGATGGGGTGCTTGTAGATCAAATGAGAACAAGGTTTAAAGAAGACAATCGTAAGTTTTCTTCTAACTCTTAATGACCAGAAAGACAATTGCAAGTTTTCTTATTGCCTATTATGACTATAAGGACAATCACAAGCTTTCTTCTTGCCCTTTATGATTAAAAAGATAATCGTATGCTTCCTTCTAACTCTTTATGACCAATATTATAAAAGGAGACAAACTTATCCTTTTTGAGGAACCCATGTCCATACTCACA